ACAGCGGCCACAACCATGGATGATCATAAAGGTGCTGGAGGGCTGGGCAACACTTCAGTGTGCTGCACACAACGTTACCATGAGTCAGAGCCAACTCGACAGCTGCTAGCTTCTCTTATTCAACCGAGCTCATAAGGTTGTGATCGATTACATGTAAAAGTGCTTGCAACAAGGATCATTCCCACCCCCTCCACACACAGAGCACACAGGGGTGGGCAACTTGGACACTGGCTACCCAAAGTGTGTGTGTGTGTGTGTGGGGTGGCTACAAAGGCAAGAAGTGACTGGCTTATGAGCTTTCAAGAGGGAACCTAGATGCAGAGGGCATGAAGGAAGGTAGAATCTCCAGTGAGTAGTATCCAATCTGTCTAGGCGGGGCTGATGAAATGAAATGCAGACGGGTCTCTTGTGATACAATAGTGAATAATTATTATCAGGACTAATTGTGAGGGTTGGAAATGTAAAGGTAGATGTTTTATAGCAAGGAGGGGAGTGACTAACTTTTCAGTCTAGGAGCGGAGCTCCCTGGGACCATCAGGGGATAAGAGCGTAGAGCGGGACCCCACCCAGAGAAGCAGTGATGCCAGCGATGGTGGAGAGATGGAGCACCTGGGGACTTAAGATCCAGAGAGGGAGAGAGGCTGTGTGATGACAACCAGGGTGTAGGTTTGTAGTGTAGACCCTTTGGTTGGTTGATGACTGTAACCATGGCAATGAAATGATATACGATAGAATGAATGTAAAACTAATGTTCTCCCAAGCAAACTATCACATAATTCACAATAAAACATTTAAAAAACAAAACAAAAGAGTACTTGCAACAATGCCTGGCCCATAGCAAGCACTCAAGAAATAGAATTCAACACCGAGTCCATATAGAGCGACTGAATGCATTTTGGTAAACAAACGCATGAAACTGAAACCATGCGTCATTTGTCCTGTGTTTCCAGAGCCTCACCCAGGCCAGGTTGTTGAATGAGGTTTGTTGTTATTTGGTGCCAGAGAATAGCTTGTGACTTGTAGCAACCCCAGGTGAGAGAGGAGAACTGCTCCATAAGGTTTCTAGGTTTATGGGGGCAGATTGTCAGCTAGGTGTAGTGTTTACGGGGGCAGATTGTCAGCTAGGTGTAGTGTTTACTGGGGCAGATTGTCAGGTAGGTGTAGTGTTTACGGGGGCAGATTGTCAGGGCTTTCTTCAGGGAGTTTAAACCACAGGTGGGTTTAAACCACCAATCTTTCAGTTAGCAGCCAAAAGCTTACCCACTGGGAACAGCTGCTGTGTGAACGGTAATCCTCACTACCAACGGAGCACTTACTATGTGCCAGGCACACACTCTAAGGAGCTCTGGTAGCGTAGTGGTTACAAATCGGGCTGTGAACCTTAGGGTCAGCAGTTCGAAACTACCAGCTGTTCCATAGTAGAAAGATGAGGCTTTCTGCTCCCTAATGATTTACAGCCTCAGAAACCCTGTACAGGGTCGCTATGAGTCAGAACTGACTCCACGGCACATAACAACAACAACAAAGCACACACTCCAGTCATCCTGGCCACCCAAAGCTGACAGTTTCTAAAAGGTATTCAGGTGGTAAGTGGCAGAGCTGAGATGCAGAGTAAAGTTGATCTGACCTATCCAGATGGCCAGTTAAGACAGCCCGAAGAGAACAAACAAGATGGCAGATCGGGTGGACGTATAGCAGAGAGCTCCGCCAACAACAACACAGAATACCCGACCAAGCAGGCTCAGGGGCTGGTCCCAGAACTCTGAACCGCATATAAAG